AATGTATGTATGTATGTAAGTTGCAGTAAAAATTCTTAAACGGTGTCTAGCATTCTCTTTTAAATCTACAGGTGCGTAAACAGCCAGAGGTTCAAGAGTTAAGACAGTACCAGGAAGAAATGAGAAATGTAAGAAATTTTGAGAAAAGAGCACTCATAACTGAAGCATATGAAGCCTGTTGTAAGAAATTAGTCACTGCGAGCAACATTTATAAACAATTAGTGATGTATATAAAAGCGATCCTCGCAGTGATGAACACTACTTAAGCTGTAGTTAAAATAAGGCCTGAAAAAAATTCGGACTAGTTCTAAATTTTGAAAATGATGGTAAAGCGCTTAGAACAGCAATGTAAGCGCAATAGAAGAGACATTTTTTATAAATATTACGTGGGCCTCTTGTTTCAAATCCTCTGCTAATTTATACTCTAGGAAGCTGTCGACATTTTCTTAAAAGTGGAAGACTTCTGGAAGAAACATCCAGTGGATGATGGAGATGAAGAGGAAAAGAAAGCTGATTAATTATTACTAGTATATTTTTGCACAGAGCAACATACCTACATACAAAGAGCAGTTGTTTTGCGGGGAAATACTGGGTAACTTCGCCATCGAACTTGTTCTTCACAAAAAGTATCAGAACAATAATATGACCTACCTGTTACTTTTACTTTAGAACGTTACTAAGAAGCTCTGATCGTAACAAACGAATTCTCCTTGCTAGTACCAAAGGAAACGTACAGCGAAGGGTATGGAGACAGATGTTAAGGTAGAAAGAGTTAAACAGATTCTGGGGGCGCTCTTTTTGTAAGAATTCATGATGTAGTTTGTTTCTTGCACATTTATTTCGATAGTTGGTTGAAATTAAAGCCGGTCTGAAATATAAACCTTGTGAGTATCACTGTCAAAAACTGTTTACGAAATGCTGTCAAGTCGACAAGGGGAATTTTTCGGGTTGCCACCCAAAACAACGAGAACCCCGCAGATTTTTCTCCTGCTTTGCACGGTCTACCACAGGAAAGGCAGATGGAAGTTAAGCTTTTGCTTTCAGTTCTTGATTGGCCAATTGAGTTTTGATTGACAGGATGAAGAAACTCTGGTTTCACGCCAGTCACGCGAAAGTTGCGAAACTTTTGAGGTTGCGAAACATTGTTTTGATGGCCTTCGGCAAACCTGACACTAAACTGTGCATAACTTTATGATCTTCTTTCTTGTTATTTGTGAGAATGAAAAGCTTTCATGTAACCCCGCTACATTACCCATGTGTCTTGTCATCTAGTAAGGAGAAAGTGGAAGCTCTTCGCTAGTAATACTTATTTTTGGAAATTGCGTGCTTCAAGATCACAGTCATTCGTTCATATTTGCCACCGAGTCATAACAGACTTTTCATAGATTCTATTACCTCGACCCGATTTCAAGGCCGATCAATCTTGATTGAACAAAGCCGTAGCAAAACTGGCCTGAAGGCTTACAGAGACCACGCATAAGTTGTTCTGAAGCAGTAATCTTGCTGCTGCAAAACAAAAAAAAAATTTCCCAGCTTATGCAAGGTCCGGTTATATTGCAGTATCTTTCTGTACAAATTAGGCAGTTTCATTTCGTGCAATCCCACGTGGGTTGTAAAAGCTGATTGAGGAAAATAAAGAATATTCAATTCCCTGCTGTTTGTTACTGAAACATTTGACCGGCCACGTTTACCTCGGCCACGAAAGTACTTTTCCCGCGATTTTTGTATCGTAAACGTGAAAAATCTCGTGATCTTTCATGACGTGTCAAGTTGACGAAGCAAGATATTTTTTGATGGAAAGGGCCCAAAATAAGAAATTTTACGTACCTCGTGACGTATGGAAGTCACGCTGGATCAAAGTACGAGGGGGCCCGCAGTTTTTACATCGCGATGTAAACATAAACATGAGCATGCGCAGTTTATAATGAGCACCGGCGAACACGTTGTGTTCCCCTTGGCCTTTCGGGGAATTGGCGTTAGGAGAAGCCGTGCAAGATGGATGTGATTGCGTTTTTAAAACCTCGAATTGTTTTTATGAGTGACTGAAGTCTTCTAGGATGTCAGCTGAGGACTTTATGCACGACGGTTTCTTAAGTGAGGAGGACGAAGGCGAAATAGTAGATTGGCAACTACCACTAATTTTTATGAAGAAGCGCCACAGAGAACAGATCGAAGGTTCCAGATCTTTAGCTCAAACGTGGCGAATGAAGGAGCGAGTAAGTAATCCAGTCACGGAGTACTCCTTCTCTTAGTTGTCGAGTTTCGTGATGTCTTTTCTTAATGTTACCTTGTCGATTTCGTTTTGTTTCAGATGAAGACGGTCAGTGTTGCTCTGGTGTTGTGCTTGAACATTGGGGTCGATCCACCAGATGTCGTAAAAACCTCACCTTGTGCAAGAATGGAGTGCTGGATCGGTTAGTAAAATATTTTATTATCTGAAGCATTCCTTTCACTTTTGTTTTATTTGTTATGAAGACGCCATTCATTTCCGGCTTGTTATTTATCAAAACCCATCTTTACTGGTCAAACTTGTTTAATTTGTGTACACAACTTGTCCATTTCCATACCCATTCATAAAAATAGAAAACGAATTCACAAAATAGTAGATGAAATTTTGCACAAATCAAGACAATAGATCGGAATAACTAATGTGTTACTCCCCTCAAAAAAATTGAACTTTGGGCATATCGAGCAATTGCGTAAGAATCATCCAATTAGATAATTCTCTGTGGTGGATGGATTTTTGGCAACCGTCCCCATCAACTCGTCTTTGTGCGTCTGTCTATATTTTGAATATTGATGATGGGATAGTGAATGTTACTTAATTTACTTAGACTTAAGTATATTGCCCCCTAATCAGCTGATTTAATTTTTTATAGTATTTTGTTTGCATGATCTTCATTCTTGAAATAGATACAACAATTAACTGTCATTTAGCTCTTCAAAAGTCTAAAAAATTAATTTTAAGGATCTTCAAATATTTTTCTACGACCCAACCTTCTTGTCACACTATTGATGTTACAGGATTTCAAATCACACTACCAGGTTATTCTTAAAAAAAAAAATTATTGTTGCCTCATTAGAATATAATACAGGAAGCCTAATGTAGGTGATTTGCTATAAACCACAGTTCTGATGAAATTTTATGGAGGCTAAGAATGTCTTGAAACTTGCCAGCACTTGTTCAGTACCTGTGTCAGCTGCAATGGCTGGTAAATTTGTTTAAACATGCAAACTGTCTATGGTTACTGTAGCATCAGTTTCTTTCATCAAAGTATTGACACAACTGCTTCAATCTAAATCTCAATAAACTAATGTCCTCAATTGCAAGAATTCAATGTTGTATTTATTGTATATTTCTTAAAATACTGGGTATTGTTCCCAGTGGATTTGGACACCTTTTTGTTTTGCTGGTGATAAAAGTAGTTTGCTATTTTTTAGCAGGCTGCTATTGCATGTAACTTTGATAAATCTGTAGGGACAAACAGTTAACATAATATGCCTAGTTTCTATCAAGAATTAAAAGCATCTTGTGGTATCTGACACAACTTCACATTCTCTTAAACAGTTAACAGGGAAATGTATAATAACTAGAATAGAGAATTACCCATCAAGAAGATTTTTGGAATTTTAAGCAGTAATTGCTGTTGTCATGGAGTTGTTTCTCTGTATTTCACAGATCCTTTATCTATGAATCCGCAGAAGGCTTTGGAAACTGTCGGTAACAAATTACAGGAACAATATGAGCGTTGGCAGCCAAGAGTAAGATGAAACGTTTTACATAATATCAGGTTTATGCTTTAGAGTATTATGGTAGGATAAGAATAGTCAGTCAGAAATTTGGTTGTGTAAATTTACTTTTAGTGATAATCAAGTAATATCTGAGCTGAAAAGACCAACTAAGTGGTTATATTTTCCTGTCAGGCTCGCTATAAGCAGAGTCTTGATCCTACTGTAGAAGAAGTGAAGAAACTGTGTTCCTCACTACGACGAAATGCAAAGGTATTTTTTTCAATTCTGAAGATATTTTTATTAATCACTTGTTGTTGTCTATCTTTTATAAAATTGAAATTAACCTTGTTTTACCACTAATTTTTTTTTGGTAAATGAACATTGTATAAGTTAGCTACTGATGTGGTTTTCTTGGTAGATGTACCAACAACTCCCTTTCAGTAAACAGTTGAGTGATTCTGTTGTTCATACCTTCACCCTAGTCTGTTTTGTCTTGCTGCCCTATTTTGTCCAAAGTTAATCATCAGTTCATTGTGAAATTCTACTTATCAAGCCAAGAAAGTATTTCTTAATGCCATTATTAACAATGTAAGTGAAAAACCCCAACTAACTTCTACTTTCAAGACACTACTGCGAAAACTTCAAAACTAGTTTCGTCTACGACCTCATCTGTTGATCATAAGCAAAAATCTAAAACTCTACATTTTTTTAGATTTTTAGATTTTTGTTTGTGATCAACTGACGAGTTCTTAGACAAAACTAGTTTTGAAGTTTTTGCAGTAGTGTGTTGAAAGTAGAAGTTAGTTGGGGTTTTTCACTAGTACATTGTTAATATGGCGTAATCATCAGTTAGTGATTGTCAATCTCTTTTATCCATTTTGGTTTCAATAAGATATCAAGAGAGGGTTACCAGTAATCCTTTTAACCCTCAGAACTGATAAACATGCCACTTCTCATTACAATCATCATCATGAATCCCTTTCATGCCTCGTGGCACATAGGGCCTTCACAGAGCTTTTCCACTCCTCTCGATTGGTTGCTGCTGTCCGCACCTCTTCCCACGACCTCCAACCCGCCTCTTGCCTTTCTTTCTCTACTGTACATCTCCAAGTGGTTTTTTGTCTTCCCCTTCTCCTTTTACCTTCTGGCACCTGGCTCATAGCAACATTGCAATCATTATTACGATCTTTCCTACAATATCCATACACTATCCAGCAAACAGGTAACATGATTACTTAAACTGATCAGGTGAAAGTTGTTATTTTGATCCAACACCTAATTCTCGTAACTACTTTTACAAGAAGATGAGTGAGAGATAGAGGGGAGAAGTGACATTCAGCTACTAGTGAGAACAAAAGAGTTAGAAGAACTCCTTGGGATGGGTTTTGATAGTTTCTGAAAGATAAACTGTCCAAGAATGATTCAAATTTCCTTTGAAATATCAGGAGGAGAGAGTCCTTTTTCATTACAATGGACATGGTGTTCCAAGAGCAACTGCAAATGGCGAGATTTGGGTTTTTAACAAAGTAAGTTAGTCCATTTTTGAACTTGAACGTGCAATATTGGTTGCTGGTAAATTTTATATTCTGTTTATGCCCTTGTAACCGTTTTTGTGATATTTGTTTTTCAGAGCTACACTCAGTATATTCCACTGTCCATGTATGACCTGCAGACATGGATGGGAAGCCCGTCCATCTTTGTTTATGATTGTAACAATGCTGGACTTATTGTGCAGTCATTTATACAATTTGCTGCCCAGCGAGAGCAGGAACAGGAGGTTATTAACAACTGTGTATTGTGTAAATATGAAGGCTCTTGTGTTGTGACTCATTGATTAAGTTGCAAATTTATATTTTGGAAATGTGTGACTCGAGTAATCCTGAAGACATTGTGCCAGAGCATTTTCTGTTGCTTATTTGGTGCAATTCACTAAAAGAGCCGGAATTTTGAATTATAGTGAAAAGTTCTTGCAGGGATTCTTGCAGGGATTCTAGCATTATGCGCTGGTGTGGACCCGCATAATTGGCCATTCTCCGCATAATCCGCATAATTTGTCAAATAAATCAATATATATGTTACCTATGTAGGTGTCTGGCTTGAGTATTGTATTTATCCTTTTTCTACAGTTGTACAAAATACCAAAGTATCGTTTTAATTTAACAAAACAACCACATGGATGCGAAGCCATTTTGTCTTTATTAAAACGACAAGGCTCGGCCCAGGTTCCAGCGTTTGGCGGTTTCCAAGATGGTGGATGTTTACAAGAATTGCTTTATGTTTGGCCATATTATTGCTTTTATTGGAAGGAGTCATTTATCAATAATGCGTAATATTCCATTTTTTTATAAAAAGAAACAATAACTGAGTTTTCTAAGTGAAATTAGTTATAATTTAAGGTTTTTAAGTGATGACATCATCGCGCATAATTTCACATATAATTCGCATTTTTTTCTGCATAATCTTCCCTAAAAATCCTGCATAATTTTGATTTTCTTTCACGCATAATGCCAGAATCGCTGTTCGTGAGATTTGAATTGTGTACATTATATTGGTATGTGTACAAGAATTAAGGGGACAAAAGCCATGGTTAATCTGGGTCATGAAATCAGTTATTTTGCAAATGAAGAGTACTGACAGTTTGAATGTGCTTTGTGAGTTATGAGGGGTAAATCACTGCACGGATATGTGTTGTTCAAAGGGGGTAGAAACTGTGGCGCTGTGTTGTTGGGGGCTATAGCATGATAATTAGTATTTAGCTTTATCAACTGAGTTGATAATGTGAAGACAAAGGGCTAATGCTCAAAATGCAGCTTTATAAACTCATTTCAGTGGCTTATTTTCATTAACAACTCAGTTGTTAAAACCAAATTATGTTTTAGATTGTTTTCTGTGAACCACGTCCTGATTTATAAAAAGTATAGTGGTTATTTTGTACTTTTACATCTTTTTTCTGTTCCTAGTACATAAATAATGTTGAATTTAATGATATATTTTTAGCGTTGTCTGGCTCAGGGTACTCCTATTCCAGTACCACATGTTGTTAAAAACTGCATTCAACTGGCAGCATGTGATGCAAACCAGCTGCTGCCAATGAACCCAGAACTTCCTGCAGATCTTTTTACCTCTTGTCTGAGTACACCTATTAAAGTGGCACTGCGCTGGTGAGTTCTGAACCCTGAAACTTAATGACCAAACTGTGCTCTGCACCCAATCATTTTTTGATGTTTCATGCAAGGAAGTAGTTCTGATGGGAACATTTTTTCTTTTAGGTTTTGTAGTCAAAAAAGCAGCAAGCTTGTTCCTGGAATCACCCTTGACTTGATAGAAAAGTAAGCTAATTGTCCTAATTTGTAATCCAGTGTTGTAAATTGAAATTATAATGGCTGACATCCCTTGTGGGGTGGGCAAGTTAAGCAAATCTTGAGATCTGATCAGCAGCTTGAGTGGGAAGGATATGTCTGAGCCTCCCCTCCCTTAGAATTACTGGTTTTGATCTTGGGGAGAGAAAACAGTCTTTGTAGCTAGTGAGCCAAACCAACTTTACTTTTTAGCAAAAACTCTGATTTAAACTGGTGTGTGCTTGGAGAACTATGCCATTGCTTAGTACTTTTGTGCATTATGCGTAGGATTCCAGGTCGCCTCAATGACAGAAGAACACCACTAGGAGAACTGAATTGGATTTTCACAGCAGTTACTGATACCATTGCATGGAACACCTTACCAAGAGGTAACTAACTGAGCCATCTATGTTGATATAAAAGCCAAATCATCCAACAGTTTTTCTTCATTTACCTGGGGATTAGAATCCATTCTAATCCCCAGTTAAACTATTCTAATTAGTTTAGTTTAAACACAATTCCTAGGAAGACCATGTAAAATGATAGGATTTTGTGTATAAATAAAGATTGATGATGATGATGATGATGATGATGACGATGATGATGATGATTTTGGTGTAAGCATACTCAAGGGGCGGGTGGAGGGAATAACGGGAGGGGGGGCAGTAGTTACAGCCTGTTACCTTTCCTCACTTGCTCAGAAGAATCTAGGACAGTAAACTATCTATTGATGATTGCCTGAAATTTCTCTTGAATCCAAAAACCACCTGTTAATAATGTACAATTCATCATTGTTTCTTGCAGAGCTCTTTCACAAGCTGTTCAGGCAGGATCTTTTAGTAGCAAGTTTGTTCAGGAACTTCCTTTTGGCTGAGAGAGTAATGAGGTCGTACAACTGTACACCTGTATCTAGCCCCAGACTTCCTCCTACATACATGCACCCAATGTGGTGAGTTAAAGGGGCATTCTTCTGGTATTGGAGAATGGGGAACTGTTCATAGATATCTCAGTTAGTACACATGCTATAATTTGTCAGTTCACTAGGCTGTATTTCACTGTATGGCATGGTAATTACAAAACTTTGTTTGAAATGAAATCTTCGTTCTCTGTTTGAACTGTGGGATATACTTAAGATCTTACTAACATAATTTTATTTGTCTTTACTGTAAGTTGCGGAACCTCTTTTTTTCTACCCAGATTTATGGTATGGGTGCTTCGCACATGGGCCATAAATTAGAGTGGAAAAAACTTGGTCTTTATCATATAGTACAGACCTCAAACTTGGTCAGTAAGATGTATTTTTAGGGCTTGTGTATTTTTATGTGACAACACTTTCCTCCTGTTTCTCAAGCATTTTTTTTTATAATTCAATGAGTATAATTGAGGCAAAGTTTGTAATATCTTTAACTTAGGCAGGAAATATATTCATGAATTTAATAAATGATTGTTTTTTTCAGGCAAGCTTGGGACTTAGCAGTGGACATTTGTTTGTCTCAATTACCTGACGTGATTGTTGATGTAGGACGTTTTAAGGTACATGTGCTTGTCATCTAACCAAGGTTCTCTTCTAGGACAGAGCTCCAAATACTGATCTTTTGGTGGAAGATTTACCTCTGTCAAGCTAGCCTTAATCTATGCTAGTAGCCCATCACATTTATAGCTGTGAGAGGCCAAGTGGCTTGATACTCAGGCTGGTTTCTGAAGCACTAAGTGATCAGGAGCACCTTTACTCATGCTAACTATGATGGAAGTCTATTGCTACCAATACCCAAAATTTTGCCAATGTTTCTGAAAGTCTGCTGATGCTCATTTTTACTCTTGGTTTTAGAGAGGCACTGTGAGAGTAAATTGTCTTGCCCAAGAATATGAAACACAGTGATCCCAGCACAACACAGTTACCGCAACAAAACACAGTTAACCCAACACAGTACCAAGTAGCCAGGGCTTGAGTCAAGATCTCTCTAATCTGAAATCCACTGTGCTGTCCACAAGGCCACCCTGTATCTATTAATAGTCATCTTCCTAGAGTCCTTCCTGCAAGAAAGGGAAAAAATTCCTACCCTAACAACTTTGATCTTTCCTCTTTCAGCATAGTGATTTCTTCACAGAGCAATTGTTAGCATTCCAGGTGTGGCTAGCATTTGGTGCAGAAGACAGGGACCCCCCTGAACAGCTGCCGATTGTTCTACAAGTTCTTCTGAGTCAAGTGCACAGATTGCGAGCTCTTGATCTACTGGGGAGATTCTTGGATTTGGGACCTTGGGCTGTTAATCTCGTGAGTTTTTAGGGTTTTCATCTATTTAGGAAGAGGGACACTTGTTACTGAAAAGTAGACAGTACTGGTTATAAGGCTTTGTGGTAGTTCTTCCTGGATGAATTAGCTTCTTAGCAGATGAAGTTACTTATGACCACAGTGCTTGGCAGAGGCTAACAGTGTGATTGCCTAACTTTTTCAGCAGCTCTCACTTACACATGCCCACCCAGAATTTTATTTTACTTTCGTCAGCCTAAAGTTCCCAAATGTAAAATTTGTCTTTGTTTTCCTCTTTCAGGCACTTTCAGTTGGCATCTTTCCTTATGTGCTTAAACTTCTCCAGAGTTCAGCAAGAGAGTTGAGGCCTTTGTTAGTGTTCATCTGGGCAAAAATTTTAGCTGTTGACAGTGTATGTCTACCTCAAGATTAATTTTTTTCCACTTCTGTGTGTGCTTATTGTCTCCTACACTTGATTCTCAATTCTGAAGGTACAATCAGGCACCCGATTGTAGATTGAAGCTGAATTATTTGCTTTGAATAATTTTTGGAACTTGTTTTGCAGTCTTGTCAAGCAGATCTAGTCAAGGACAATGGACACAAATATTTTTTAACTGTGTTAGCTGATGGGTATGTACGGGTAAGAAAAATTCCTGTATAGTTAGGCATTAAGCCTGTTTGCTAAGTTTCTCAAACAATGTGTATTGTAAACTTTGTCTTTTTGTAATGTTAGTGAATATTTTGTGTCCTCTTTTAGGCCGAGGATCGAACAATGGCAGCATTTGTTCTATCAGTGATTGTGAATGAATATCCTGTTGGCCAGGTGTGTGAACGGAAATAAGTCTTTGGTTTTTGTAGGGATGATTTATGTGAGAAATTGATTTCTTTAAAGGTGCTTATTGTAAATGAACCCCACCCTGCCCACCCCACCCCCCTTGTCCTCTTCCCCTGGAAGAAAAGACTCTAGCACTGTAAGCAGCCCCTCATTACCAGGGCCCCAGGGTGAGGATTTCTCTCCCCACGGACAGATTTAAGATGAGTCAGGAAAGGTTTGCAAGGTATCTCGCAAACATTATCAGTGCTAATCTACTTGCAAACCTCTTGCGGGCCACCATTCCTCAAACTTATTTGTGGGCAAGATATATTTACAGTGAGTGCCTGCTTGAGTATTTATTTGGAATGGGATCAAGGACAGAGTTTTTTTTTTTTGTTCTTTGTTGTGGGTCAGTTTTTTTCATTAGCTTAATTGTAAAAGGTTCCGTTTGTTTTTCTGTCATTAGGAAGCCTGTGTTCAAGGCAATTTAATTGCCATCTGTCTGGAACAACTGACAGATCCCCACCCTTTATTGCGACAGTGGCTGGCTATTTGTCTTGGTCGGGTGTGGTATCATTATGAGGCGGCCAGATGGTGTGCAGTCAGGGACAGTGCCCCAGACAAACTGTACTGCCTACTTTCTGATCCACTCCCAGAGGTGAGAGGCATAATGGAGTCTAGAAGAGAATCATTTCGAGCAGCGTAGCTAAATAAATATTATTAGCAATTAATTGAGAAGCTGCATGTAGGTCACGGTTTTTAAACCTTCAAAATGGAAGCCTAAAGTTTTCCAATTCAATTTTGACAAACTATCGACCTTCTCCATCCAGAGCCTTCTGTGTTCCTTCTAGTTTATTATTTAACTTTTCTCCGTATTTATTTGTTACTGAACCGATACTTCTACCCCTTCAAACTGGAGGATATCTTGCGTGTAGCAAAAACAGACTCAAAACATCTTGTAATACCTCCTTTGCTCAGTTGGTTGATTATTTTCGTCAAGGTACGCGCTGCAGCAGTGTTTGCCTTGGGACGATTTGTAGCCAACACTGGAGAGAGATCTGACCAAGCTAATCAGATTGACTTTGGAGTGGCAATGACCCTGACGCAGCTGTCCTTGGATGGAAGCCCGCTCGTTAGAAAGGTCTGTTCTCTTGCTACTACATTACTTTACGAAAACGATGTTGATCCCTCTTCTAGGGAATCGTTAGAGCACCTTTGCACCTTTGGTGGCACCTTCTAGGGAATCGTCAGAGCACCTTTGGATTAGCCAATTGGCAGAGAGGAAAATACTTTTAAGAACCAATGAGAAGTCAAAGTAAAAAAAGCAAACAAACAAAACAAACTGCCCGCAGCGCGGGAAAACGCAGGCGCTCAAGTTGTAATTGTTTTTAGTTTTGCATCTGATTAGTCGAGGGAGTGGCGCGAGTTTTCTGGACCAATCACAGAGCGGAGTAAAGCAAAACCAGTGGAAGCTCGGATAACTTACGACACTGAATTGAAACTTGCTCTAATAGAGAGTTGCTTTGGTGATTTCAGGAACTAGTTGTCGCTCTTCATGGACTGGTGTTACAGTTTGAAACCAACTTTGGTGTAGTGGCTCTCCAGTTCTTAGAAGAAGACCGTCAAAGAGAGAATGCACCCCCAGCCGCGGCAATCACACCAAGTGGCTGGATTGTGGTGGGTTCTGGTCCTTCCTCTGGAATGGAGCCCATTACGCACATCAGTCCCAGCAGTGGAGCCAAGAACACGAAAGGAATACGCACAAGCTTTTCAACATCGAATCTCAATACTTTTCCAACAAATCCTCCTGTTGTTAGTGGTGAGAATTTTAGAAACTTGTTTGTCACAAGGACTATTTTTCAAAGAGAGTATGATACTCACAGCAGTGTAATGGGTTAGCCTGCGAACCAGGTCTATATTATTAGCACTGCGGGGCGCGTGCTTTTCCAACCGCGATAAGATTTGAGACGAGTCGAAAGGTCTGGCACTAATGGTCAGGCGCTAGACCCCCTCGCAGACCTCTAGCGGGCTCACGTTGCTCAAACCCTCGTGCTTTCCCGTGGGCAAAGAATCGTTCGTGCCGAAGTGTTGATAATAGGGGCCAACAGCTGCATCGAGGTTTATTACGGCATGGAAAATGTTCCAGCAAGGGGTCACCTGTTAATGACTAGCAACATTCTCTAACAGTCAGTATTACAAAAACGGCTTTAATCGCTGCTGAAATTTGCCTCTTCTGCGATCTATTTTCAATTGTTAACTTTTCCACCACCACCCCAACCTCCCCTCCCCCATTAAACTTTGGGGAAGTGGAGGGTAGAACAGAATACGCAGTAAGTCTTAACTCTAAAACGTGGTGAACATTTTGTGTTTGACACAGGCCAGCATATCTCATCGTCATTAATGAATTACAGTAGCAGTAGTGAGAGTCCTGGTAGCAATGATTTTATGCCAGGCATGAAAGATCTGCGGCGGACAAGCTCACAAAATTCACTGTCTTCAAGCTTTCAGTCCAATGTTTATGCTAACGTATGGAAGGTTAGTATTTATATTATAAACAATTATTGGATTCGGTTTTTGTGATATCCAGAATAATCAAGGTCGAGGTAAACGTTATCAGCCGAAGCCGAAGGTTGAGGCTGATAACATTAACCGAGACCTTGATTATTCTGGATATCACAAAAACTTAATCCAATAATTGTTTAATTATACATTGTTTTGAAGAAAATAACGCAAGAACGCATTATCGCAGCGAACACAGTTTATTTTCGAA